CACCATGACTGGGAAGGGTCTGGAGGGGACAGTGCCTGGAACACCCACAGCCTCGGGACTGCCCTGGAAGGTCTTTGCTGGAGAGCGCCCCAGGCTGATGGACACATGGACTCAGGGGCACCCTCGCTGGCCTCTCTGGCCTCTGAGGCCACCTAGGATGTGACCTGGAATGACCCACGTGCCCAGCCTGGGGGTGATTCTAGAACTGTGCTAGTGACTGCTCTGTGGTCTGGGTCACAAATTATAACTTATTAGGAGCAGCGGTTGGCATAATGGCTATGTCACTCTCACGTAGCTGACTGCAGTTCGAGTCCGGATCCAGTGACTTAAACTCACCCCGGGCATGTGTGCGTGCATGCCCAAGATCCTGAGAGGAGAATGGAGGAGAAGGGATTGTGGCGTGGCCACCCACTCTGGGGAGTGATTTCTCACTTTCTCTCTCTCTGGTGAGCGCACACGCCCTATAGCAACCCCTCCCTCAAAACAAAACAAAACAAAACAAAACAAAACAAAACAAAAAATTGTAACTCATCAGCAAGGTAAGTATAAACATTAGGAGTAAAGACTGTAAAACTCTCATATCAGTTTGATAGTGCCTCAAGATGCAAGAAGGCGGCTGAGTTGAGTACATTCATCTTGTCTCGGTGAACAGGGTACGGGCCAGCTTGGCTGTTGTCCGTCTGGCACAGAGTTGCATATGGAGTAAGTTATGTGAGGATAACACACAGTACATGTTAAAGAGTGTGTTTATTTATTTATCGCCAGAGAAAAACAGAATGATAGAGAAAAAGAGGGAAAAAGTACTCCCCAATGTGGGCCACATCACAGTCCCTTCTCCTCTATTTTTCCATCCCGTTGAGACTTTAGATACATACACACATGCGCCCAGCATGTTTTTCAAGCTTCCAGGTAGGATTTGAATTGTGTGGTTAGCATGATGGATCCAGCGCCACTAACCTCCAGGCCACAGGGATGGCCCAAGTGTGTGATTTTTTAAAAAAATAATTATTTAACTTTATCTTATTTATTATTATTTTAAAAAATAATTTGCTATAGGGCACATATGCTTGCCAGGGAGAGAGAGAGAGAGAGAGGGAAAGTGAAAAAGCAAATCGCTAGGTCCGAGACTCGAACCGTGGTTGACCGTGTGAGAGCCCAGTGCCTTAACCACCATACGACCTGATGGCCCCAAGTATGTGATATTTTGAGATAAGTTGTCAGCTAGCCAAATGTGTATAAACAATTGAAAAAAAATTATTTGTATAATTTGTTATTTTCACAATCATTTCATTTTTAATCTAATCTTTTTTTTCAAAGAATGTAGAGCTTAATATGACTTGCTAATTTAGTATAGCATAGTGATTAGCTAATTAGAGATCTAATTAACAGATAGAAAACAAGTCACTGAACTTTTGTTAAGAGAAGACATATTTTTTGAACGTGACAGTAACAGTAAATCAAAGGATCGTGGTAGAATTGATTCCAAAGAAAATTTTCTTTCTAAAATTATTCCAGAGTGTGTACTGGCTTTATTTGAAAGCAAAATCTCTCCTTTTTGGTAAGCAGAGTAATGGTATCCCCAAATGTCCACTCTTTCATGCCACCAATCTGTGACTCTGTTATCTGACACGGCAAAAGGATCCTTTCAGACATAATTAAAGACTTGAGATGGAACGATTATTCCAGATTATCAGGGTGAGCCCAAGCAGAGACTGTTTCCCAGCTGTGGTCAGAGAAAGAGGTGCAGCTGGAGGGACGCCACTTGCTGTTTTGTTTTTTAGAGAGATTTTTGCCAGAGGGTGCATGTGCTCATGGGAAAGACACAGAGAGAGACAGAGAGGGAGAAAGTGAGAAATCACCCCCCGGGGGGATGACCACGCTGCAATCCCTTCTTTTCCATTCTCCTCTCAGGGTTTTGGGCATGCGTGCACAAGTGTCTGGTATGTTTCATGCCACCAGGTCTGGGCCATGCGGGAGTCCAGCACCCCAACCACTGTGCCACTGGTGCTCACCCCACCTCCCTTCCCCTCTTGCTGTTTCCTGCTGGGACAAGGGAGGAAGGGGAGTGTGAGCCAAAAAACATGGCGGCCTCTGGCATCTGGGGACAGGCTTAGGTTTACAGCCAGCGAGAGGACAGGACCTTGGTCCTGTAACTCAGTAAACTGAATCCTGCCTGTGATCTGAACAGGCGGGAAATGCATTCTCTCCTGGAGTATCCAGCAAGGAACTCAGAGGCCGACACCTTAATTTAGTCTGGTGAGACCCAGTTAGACATCTGCCCTCCAGAACTGTAAGATAACACTTGGGGAGTTGTTTTTGTTTTTGTTTTGTTTTGAGGTGTTTTTGCTATAGGGCACGTGCAGTCACCAGAAAGGCAAAGAGAGACAGAGAGACAGAAAGCAAGAGATCACCCCCCAGGGGGTATGACCACGCCACAATCCCTTCTCCTCCATTCTCCTCCTGGGATCTTGGGTATGCACTCACACATGCCGGGCGTGAGTTTGAGCCACCAGTTCGGGACTCAGACCACAATCGACTACGTGGGAGTCCAGCGACATAGCCATTACGCCAATGGCTGGTCCTTTGGGGAGTTGTTTTAAGTCACTAAATTCATAGTAATCTGCTATGGCAGCAATAGGAAAATACCATACTCATGTAGTATGAGTTCTGGAATTAGAATGACTAGTGACGTTTTAAAACCCAGTGAGTTATTTGTTGAGATGTGCTGGCCAATGAAGCAAATGCACCATAAAAACATATGGGATTTACATATTAAACATAAAAACACAAGTTTGACAAACTAATTTTTTTGTGTATAGGATTAAAAAGATCTTGAAAGCAATCAGCATTTTGCATATGTATAACTAGCATTCTGTGGGTTTCTTGTGAAGTAACATTTGGTGGTGAAAGAGGAGAGATCATTTACAGTCATGGAAACATCACTGAAAACCTGCAACAGAGGTATTTTGCCTTACAATCCTGGGCTGATCTGTGACAAAGAAGGGAGTTTAGGGATAGCCATAACCTAGTGGTTAGGGGAGTCAGATCCCACCTGGTTCTCGGAGCTTGAAAAGCACACGCGAAATCTTGACAGGATGGATAAATGGGGGAGAAGGGATTGTGGCATGACCATGTTCCATTAGAGGGTGCTTTCTCCCTTCCCCATCTCTCTCCAGTGAGTACCTGTGCCCTTTGGCAATTGGAAAAAAAATAAGGGAGCTTGGATATCACTTTCCAATGATATGAGCTGACACATGCGGGGATTGGTCAATAATGAAGAAAACCAGGACCAGCAGGTGGCGTGGTAGTTAAGGCGCTGGACTCCACATGGCCAACTGCAGTTCAAGTCCCCAGAACTCATGCCGAGGGCATGTGTGCAGGTACCCAAAATCCCAGGAGGAGAGTGGAGGGGAAGGAATTGCAGTGTGGCCATCCCCCCCTGAGGGATGATTTCTTATGGTCTTTCTCACTGTCTCTGTCTTTCCTGTGAGTGCATGTAGGAAAAATAAAAAGGAAGATCGCCTCCTAGAACAAATAAAGCTAGCATGGCATTTTTTATGGCACCCTGAAATATGCACAGATACGGGTAACATAGCTGTTCTTGACTGTATGTGCCATTCAAATGATGATTTGAAGAAATTCTGTATTTTTTGTGTCATTGCCGGAACCACAACTAGTTCTAGACTGCATAAAACTATGAACATTCATACTATCAAAATAGGGTTTGGTATTTAGTTTTATGTAGGAGTAATTTTTTTTTTAAGAATTATCTCATTTTATTCATTGTCATTATTTTATTTATTTATTTATTTAGAGAAGTTTTTGCTATAGGGCGTGTGTGATCACCAGGAAGACAGAGAAACAGAGAGACAGAAAGCGAGAAATCACCCCTCCCCCCCAGGGGGGATGGCCATTCCGCAATCCCTTCTCCTCCATTCTCCTCTTGGGATCTTGGGCACGCACGCACACGTACCCGGCATGAGTTTAAGCCACCGAGTCTGGGACCTAAACCATGATCAACTACATGGGAGTCCAGAAACATAGCCATTATGTCAACTGTTGGTCCCATTTTATTTTATATTTTTGAAGTTGACCAGAGAGAGAGAGAAGGAAATTGAGAAAGCAAGCTGCCAAGTCCGGGACTCAAACCATGGTCAGCCACATGGGAGTCTAGCTGCCTTAACCACCAAGTCACGGGCTAGCCCTATGTAGAAGTATGTTCTGATGGCTCTGTTGCTATGACAGGGAAACATTCTGGAATAGTCATCTAGATTAAGAAGCTTTGGGCTAGAATGTAAATCAATGCACTGTTTCCTTCATTGAGAAAATATTTCGGTTGAAAAAACTCAGTGGAACTTAGTGTGCTAACTGACGTGGTAAAAATTGTGATTTATATAAGGGGAACGTATTAAATTTGAAATTATTCTCTTTATTATGTGATAATGTAGAAACAGATTATACACAGCAGTTACTGCATTCCAAGTTACAAAAGAAAAACATTTTTGTTGAGAATGTCTTATTTACGGAAAGAACTAATGTGTTTGCAAGACAAGAGTACAGTTTAGTGCTAACTTTTTAAAGATGTGAATTGAACAGCTTTTTTATATTATAGTTTTTTAAAATTTGCTAAAAGGTACATGAGTTTGCTGGAGAGAGAGAGGGAAATGGAAAAAGCATTCCCCCCCATGGGGAATGGTCATGCTGCAATTCCTTCCCCCCCTC